GGCATAGTAAGAGTGAATTAGGATAAGAAACCCACCTGCTCAACTATCGCTCTTTCATGTGGAGTTAAACCAGCATGATGCATACCGATACCAAATGGAAGTGTAAGCTTCAGATTCTCATCTTTTACCGACTGCAGCAAAACCTCCAGCTACAATGTATCAATACAATATCATTTCACAGTAAACATTTAGAGATAGGGCACCTCAGCCATATCGATGTGAAGCCATTGCCTTGGATCGCTTTCTGCCACCAAATGGCTTATAAACGCCATAGCAGTAAGTCGAGTTTGTCTTCGGGAGGCAACAAATACAAGGACTGGTTTCAGTGGCGAATACGAGATGATGGCTGAAAATGCAAGATGTTGGGACGTATGCAGTTTGAAAGCAGCAACCTTTTCGTAAGCTTATTAACCTTTAAAAGCTGGTTTATTCATTAGCGCCATTCGGGGGCAGTAATGCTGTCCAGGAAATCCTTGGATATGTACATCAACTGGAACAGGCCGAACCGATGGTCGGAAGTTAAAAAGACCATCCTGAACAGTTTAAAAAATGTACGTAGATATATTTCGGCGTGAACAATTGAGTGCTTGAAGACAGGATGTGAAAAATTTAGCAAAAATCTTTGAAGCCATTTCGATATCATTTAATGGCGAGCGAGATTTAGCGGGCGCCATATGTTCAAAAAAGGTTATAGAGTGTAGCAGGAACAGGAGTGGCAATAGCAAACAATAAGCTACAGCCTATCTATTGGGGGGTTGCGAATAACCCAGAATGGTCATAGCAATTTTCAATAAAAACGGTTCAGTCGTATAACAGCCGTCTATCCGTCGTGAATTACGGAATTTTACTCTTGGTCTCTCCATTGCTTACCATTACGCTAAACATTTGCATCATTTCGCTACTCATTCGATAAATTCTATATTCCAATGTTCCATAGCATAACTTGAGCTGTTCAAATTATTCACCTAGTAGGACCATTGCTGCAAAGTTCCTTCAACGC